TACAAATTATACAATTGTTGAATCCTAATCTTAAAAATGTACATTTACAATTAGTGTTAATTACAGTATAATGTGTACATGTACCATTTATATGTATGTATATAAATGATATTTTCGCCACAGAAATCTTGGATCTGTTGTAAAATCTAATCATCTATTTGGAGGGTCTCACACAAATTATTTACTTTTTTGAAAACTAATAAAATTAATTACTTATAGACAGTACATTAATACGATTTACTTAAAAATTTGATTATTTGCTTTCGAATAAACAAATTTTGTTTTTTAAATCTTATAAAATTATATATACATACACTATTAGAAATGTTCTTAAATTTCATTAAATTTTAAGTTACACAATTTGAACTTAATTTCATAACATTATATTAAATTTAATGTATTTATAAGTAAAAAGTATATTTGTGTACATAAAATTTAATGTATTTTTCATGAAAATTTACGAAATTTAATGTACACGTTCATTATATTTAAATAATTACTGTAACTTAATTTTAGTTAAATCATTCATACTTTTAATTTCGTTCATAATCACGAGCTTCATTTACATGTAAAGGAAGCTCGTGATTACATTTCTAACAGCGTAATTTAAAAAAAAATGAAATCATTTTGAATTTAATCTGCTATTAAAAACAATTTCATAAAATGTAATGTTTACATTACAGACCGTTTAAATGTCGATATTCCATAAATAATCTTGTCATGCAATGGAATTCTTCTTTTAAGATTTTCATGATTACATAAAAAAATATTGCCTGCGGAAACATAATAGATTAATTAATAGTCACAATATATAAAAAAGCTCTTATGAGATATACAACAGAATCTACTCACATACTATCAGTTGTTCGCACAACTGCTTCCAAAGGATCCCTGTTTACAGTATCAGCTGTAGATGTCACAGTGTATTCCAAGTTTCGAGCGCCTGTATGTGGCAAAATAGTCTCCTGATTATCATCTGGCGAGACAATCTCCACAACACCAGTCGCTTCGACTTCCAGTTTCAGATCTCTCACGAGATCCTGAATCGTTTTTGCCTGCGTTCCCTTGTCATCTTCTGTTTGTTTCGCATTTTTCCTCGATTTCGTTTTCGGCCGGCTGTGCGTCTGCATGTGTCTTTTCATATCACTTCGTACTCTGAATGGCTTGCCACACACTCCGCACGGATGTGGCTTCTCGCCGGTGTGTATGCGACGATGATTCTGTAAGTAACTGCTTGCGCGGAACGTTTTGTTGCAATACTCGCAACGATAGTTCTTCTCGCCAGTGTGAATACGCCTATGCAAGATCAGTGAATATTTTCGGGCAAACTCCTTGGCACAATATTCACACTGATATTGTTTATGCTCCGAATGGAGACTCGTCGAATGATACTTTAAGTCGCCCCATTGTCGAAAGTGTCGCCCACATTCTTCGCATTTGTACGGTTTGTCGCCGCTGTGAAGTCTCTTATGTACCTATTCGTCGAAATAAAATGGATTTTAGATTTTTACATATTATTAACAAAAATAAATTTTACACTTCGCGAACATCTACTTACTTTCAACGCGCTGGCAGCAAAGAAACGTTTACTGCAAATATCGCATTGATGAGGCCGTTCTCCGCTATGAGATCGCATGTGATAAACTAAACTATTTTTATGGTGGAATGAACGATTGCACTGATCACATGTTAATTCACCATCTATAAGAGAATACTGTCTTTAAAATTTATATCTTTAGCACGTCAAGAACTTCTGGGGGAAAAAAGAATTATACGCACTTGACTTTCGTGTTTTCGATGGTTTTTTTTTTTTGGCCGTTTGTGGAATGTCAGTCTTTGCCTTCTCGTTGGAACTCTTATCATTACTAACTTCCGGTGGTTTTATTTGTTGATCCCTTTGTTGTACCTCTTCTGTAACGCCAGTAATGGTCCACATAGCTGGTTCATTGTTCGTAGTGGATAGCGGAGGATCCGTCTCGTCGTCGATACGCGCGCCAGTTTCTTCCACTACAGGCGGCAAAGATCAACAAGTTCGTAATAATTGTTTATATTGAAAAGTGTAAAAAATGTTAATGTTATCAAAGATGTTATCTCTCTTACCTACGTTCCGAATACCCTCCATAAGGTCTTCAGGTTCACTGAATTCTTCAATCACGGTATTCTCTAAACTGTGTACTGTTTCCGGCACTGTTTCCGGCACTATCGAGATATTAGTATTTGTTGCTTGAGCTATTCGCGTTTCTTGTTTTACTGGTTCATAATGTACCTATATTAAAATTATTTTTTATATTACTATTTCTATTTCTATTAAATTTCTGTTAAAGATACATATACAGTCAAAAGTTTCCAGCCAATGAGCAGTTTTATTATATTGCTCAAATAAAGAATTTTTACAAATAAAGATCTAGTATATAAATGCCTAATATATTCTAATACTTAAAATGTTAAGTTAACTATAATAAGAAGTTCATTAATTTATATAAA